GCTTTAGGAGAGACTCTCAGCTGTTCCTGCAGTGCTGCTAGCTCGCACCAAGTTTGTGATTATCCCTGAAGAGTTTAGTGTGTATGTACCTATATTAATTCCAGTGTTTAGCGTGTTAATTCTTGGACTGCCCCAGATGTGTTCTCATATTCGATCCCTGAGCGTCTGTGGAATTTCACGTGCTTGTCATCTTCATCCATCTTCTCTGTTTAGTTTCTGAATCAGTTGCACCTGTTGGAGAATGGCGGGACATGATCCTGGGTATGCACCTGGGGAAGGCCAAAAAGAGCTGGGCCTCAGTCCCCTGGGAACGCATGGACACAGTCCTGGGAACGTACCTGGGAATGCAGTGTACAAGCAAGGCTCTGGAGATAGTAACTTATATATAGATAGGGAGTAACTCAGCTGGGCAGATGGCAGATGGCAGGGGCAAGTTGTCCTTGAGGGTGAAACAAACAGGTTTGAGAAAAACAGCTAGGAATGCACCCAAGCCTGGGAAAGCAAGAGATAATCCTCACAGCTGCAGCTGCAAGTAGGGAGAGTACCTGAATGCTATCTTTAGAGCCTAGCCAATTAAAAATGATTGGTAGTTGTATGCCTGTCCTGCACTGTATAAGAAAGAGCCTGTCGGACAATAAAGTTGGAGCTTGCTGTATCACCCACACGGAGCCGGCCGCTTGCTTCCCCGTGCAGAACCTTCCCCTTTCCCAACATGCACCAACCTAAGCTTTCCCATTTTCACTACTTCTGGTCTCCTAGAGTCATACAATCATAGAATCAGCCGGGTTGGAAGAGACCTCCAAGATCATCGAGTGCAACCCTACCGTAGTTACTAGACCATGGCACTAAGTGGCACATCCAGTCTCAGCTTGAAAACCTCCAGGGATGGTGAATCCACCACCTCCCCGGGCAGCCCATTCCAATGTCTGATCACTCTCTCTGTAAAAAATCTCTTCCTAATATCCAACCTAACCCTCCCCTGGCAGAGCTTGAGTCTGTGCCCTCTTGTCCTGCTGCTGGTTGCCTGGGAGAAGAGACCAACCCCCACCTGACTACAACCTCCTGTCAGGGAGTTGTAGAGGGTGCTAAGGTCTCCCCTGAGCCTCCTCTTCTCCAGGCTGAACACCCCCAGCTCCCTCAGCCTCTCCTCATGCCACTTGTGCTCGAGTCCCTTCACCAGCCTCGTTGCTCTTCTCTGGACTTGCTCCAGCGCTTCAATATCCCTCCTGAACTGAGGGGCCCAGGTCACCCCTGAGCCTCGAAAAGACTGAGCACCCCTTGAGTCTACAAAACCAACTGCTGGTTCCTGTCCACTTAACTGTGTTCATAATCCTTAGAGGATCTTGCAACATGAGTGGTAGTTCTGCTCCCTCTCCTGTCTAAGACGGTTTCAGGGAGGAAAATAATAGTTAGCTGAGGGGACTGTTTTGCATGTTGGGGTTCTGTCTCTGGAAGTGGCTGCTCACTTCTTGTAGCAAGCACTCATTGCCTTGAGCTTCTCCAGAAGAGAAGGAACTGCTTGTCAGTCAGTAAGGAAGGAAAAACAATGTAAACCCAATATGTGCTAGTTTTTGATGATTTTTTTCATTTCTTTTGTTATTGTAAATGGACTCCTCTGGAAGTAAGAATAGAGGAGATAAAATTGCTTTCCCTTAATAAAATTATTCTAGTTTCCAGCCGTGTGTAGCTACAGGGACTTTGTGAGTTGCATGTCACTTCTGTGCATGTAGGGCTCCTGAAAGTGTTCCTCTTCCTTGTACAGTCTTCCCTAGAAATAACATCCTGATATCAGCAGCATTCTTTGGCAGCAAACTACGCAGGGTTGCCCAGTTGCATAGAGAATTAATTCCTGGTTTTCATTCTGTACCTGACTCCTCGTTTCGTTTGATGCCCCATACCTCTTCTACTGGAATAGTCTGTTCAGCCATTCTCTCTAGGGTCTCAGTTTTGTGTGTCACTACTTTTTCTCCTAAAGCATCTACTTAAAAAACTGAGAAAGTCTTAATCTACAAGGTTATTCTTCACACCTCCTATCATCCTTGTTATTTTTGCAGGCTGAGTCCTGCATTTATGAAGTGGCATAATAAATAATTTGTGTCTTGACAATTTCTGTTTGCTTTTTTCCTTTCCACACTCCAAGATTTCCCTTGAGAAAAGGCTTATTTCTTGCCAAGACTGGATGTTTTTATTTTCTTATTTAAATGTCTAGTCTTAACAGTTGGCCCTGCATGCATAGCTCTGCATTGAGCATCAAGAAATTTCATCATCATGATTTCATTGCTGTATGTGTTTTCTTAGTTTTAGAGTAAAATTCATGGGAATGGAAA